CTCTCCAATCCAGTTCTAGGAATCTGAGTCCTCCATAATACACACACTTATCAATGATTCCCACTTGTCTTTCTGGTGATGAAAATTAGGCAAATCTAAGTGTGGACGAGCCCCTGGGTCTGTGCCCATAATGCCCATAGGTTAAAACTATTATAACCTTGCAGCTCGCATATGCAATCAGATGCAAGCATTATCTATACGTAAATACAAATAAATGTTCCTTTTTAAAAAATCATATAAAAAAAAGGATTTTAGATGCTGATGATCGTTAAATGCGTCATAACAGTATTGTGTAAAGGATCTAATGGTTAAAAATAGGAACAAACATCAGATAGAAACAAAAACCTAAACAAACACTTCTATGAACTTAACGTCATAAAAATACTTGTTTATTTACCTCGCGCTGCCGTCCGTGTACCGCTGTGAACAGGAAATTCAGGGAATGGAGTTGAATCGATTCATCTTCAACAGACCGATCAGTGTGACATCAAAACATCACGAGAACAACAGACAGCTACGTGTACATTTGAATCCATCTCGCGGTATTTTATTTCTTCAGGTACACGACTACTAATTTGTTATTCCAAACGAGTTGTGAATCAAGGAGCCTCTAAAGATCCGGATCAAACTGCAGCAGCACGAGGAAGATTTGCTCAGACTTTTGGGAAGTTTGGAATTGCTCCGTCTCGTCACCAGTGGTGTAAATTAACTAATTACAAATACTCAAATCACTGTAATTGAGTAGTTTTTCTCAGAAATTGTAATTTACGAAGTAGTTTTATAAATGTGTACTTTTACTTTTACTTGAGTACATTTTTAGTGCAGTATCTGTACTTTTACTCCACTACTTTCTTTCAACCTGCAGTCACTACTTTATTTTTTCTTGTCTATGGGAATTAGAAAAATCAGTCCTGTGATTCCTGTCCAATCAAATCACACGTAGAAGGTAAATTGCATCATAATGAACTACCTCAAGACATGTGCACATTACATTGCAGCAAACTGTTTGTCAGCATTAAAAGTGTCCAAGAAGATGTTAAAAATCTTTACACGCATTGTCCCAGAGACTGTTTAGATCAGGGATGCCCAAACACAGTCCTGGAGTGCCGATGTCCTGCAGAATTTAGCTCCAACTTGCCTCAACACACCTGCACGGATGTTTCTAGAAAGCCTAGTATGAGATTGAATAGCTAGTCCATGTGCTTCTGATTGGGATTGGAACTAAACTTTGCAGGACACCGGCCCTCCAGCACCAGGTTTGGGCACCCCTGGTTTAAATGCTTATCACTGACGTCTTGTGTCTGTGACCCAGCAGACACAAGACGTCAACATGCCGTCAGATTGAAATTGTACCCTAATGTTGTGGAGACTTAGCATTTTGTTTGGAAATGAAAATCAGGTTTACATCAGAACTCAACGTCAGCCCGATGTCAATGTCCAGCGTCCAACCTAAAATTAAACAAATATCAACGTCTAATGATGTTACAGCTCGACGTTGTGTCGACGTTACTACTATGACATCTATCAGACGTTGAATTTTGGCTGCCATAACTGATGAATAAATGTCAGTATTTGACATCAATAGGATGTTGATTTAAGATGTTGGCTCGACATTGGACTTTGGTCACTTTCTAACAACCTAAAATCAACCAAATATCAATGTCATTTGATGTCATTATTGAACATCAAAATAATATTGTCCTTAGACCCAGGCTAGACACTGAATTTTGGTCACCTGACATCAAAACCTAAATTTAACCTAATATTAACGTCTTATGACATTGTGTGCCTGCTGGGCAATAACTAAATGCACTACAAAATGTTACGTTTACACACACATCCACAAATTACATGTAAATGCATCAACTTTTAACAGCATAATACTCACTACTCATGAGTAGTTTTAAAAGGGCTTTTTACGCCTACTTTGAGTAATATTTACAACAGGCACTTTTACTCTACTCGCACTATATTTTTAGGCAAGTAATAGTACTTTTACTTAAGTAAGCTTTTTCAGTACTCTTTCCACCACTGCTCGTCGTCATGTAACATGTGAGTAAATCGTTGTTTGTGAATGTAGGCCACTGTTATGATTAGGAATTGTGCATTACCAAGATTATATACATTTTGATTCATTTGTTTTAGTGTAACATTAACGCAAGTTCATGCCCGAATCTAAACGGCCAACAGCAAATATTTACCAATGTTTACTGTCGTTTACTTAATTTTTTTGCACATCTTAGAGATGTCTCCAAAGTTCTTCTGGACTTAGTTTGTCCCCCTTTTTTTTTATGTCATTCCAGACAGACTGGATGATCATTAGATCAGATCTCTCTGTGTGTATGATAGAGGTAAAGTTGCTTTGAAATTCGCACATTCGTTCATTTAGCAGTCTATATATTGTTTACCATGTTACTTTGAATATTCGATCAGAATTAGCATGCAAGTAAGACTTCTAAACTACATAACAGTATCTCATTCACTGTGACAATGCTGTTGTTTGATAGTCATTGGCTGCTAACATGATTTCCCTATTTAGAGTTTGCAAATAATAGTTTTGTAAAATTATATTATTAAGGGAAAAGTTTGAATGTGCAAATATAAAACCAACTTTAGCTCTATGTGTGTGTGGAGCACTGGCTGTTGTCAGACTCACTGTGCAGACAATTTTCTCCCTGTATACGTTAATTACAGCTAATGACAAAAATAATGTTTGGAAATGTAAATTGATAAATCAAACTGGCATGATACAGAAAAATATAATAACCAACTTTAATCTCACCCACCCCACCACCGCATTCTGAAATTACTAGTAACGTTAGCCTATATGGTACTACTTATTTTTTTTCACCATCTGTATACTAATATAAGTAGTGAATGTACGTGTCTGTTGGTGGGGCTGTGCCTGTATGGTAATGTGGGCTGGTGTGGCTACAGTGCCAGGGCTGAATTTTTGTCTCAGTCCACCCTTGGTTATATATGTCGAGAAATATATGATATTGTAAATATCTTTTTAAATCATAAAAATCAACAACACTTATAGTCTAACATATTGCCTCTAACTGTGTCATAAGGCCTACAGATAGATGTTTTAACTTGATTGGTTATAACATAATGAAATCTTGAAATGTGCACATGCGTACTCAGAGCAAAATCTCCAATGATAATAACTTGGCGTCAGACACAACACGAGGATATTTCTTTGGTCAAGAGGACCAGAAGGGAAATTCAGCTCTCTCTCACTCATGGTCACGCACACACACACACACCAACTCTTAGGGTGTCTTGCTGTCTAGCAGGCTTCTTATCAGGACAGTAAAATAAACAGCAGACTAATACAGAGAAAACTCCTCTAATAACAGAATCATTAAGAGAATTAAAACTCTTAGAAAAAATAAAATCAACAGCTTTGATGTCATCAACAGTTCACCTGAGAGCTCCTGATGACCTCCTGAATGGGCCTGAAAATCCTGAGGAAACAATTAACCTGGCACACAGGAAAAGCAATGACACACATATCGTTCTAGATATACTCTACACTGGGATGACACTAAGGTCGTCATATTATCTAAGCACTTAAACATCTTTCTTTGGGGCCCGTGATTAAGCAGAATGAAAAGAAACATGGATTTTGATACTGTTTTGTTTAGCAGAAAGACTCAAAGATATGTTATACATGTAGACAAATATATGATATTGTTAATCCACTCAAAACGCTGTTGAAACCCATTTGCGGATCGCAACTTACTGGTTGTAAACACGTTAAAATGGAAGTTTTAAACATTCTACCGGAAGACACTGGCCACTATGGCGCACTTCATGCAGCAGCCTAGAAAAAGGTCCACAATTGTAACGAGTAGGGGTGTGAATTTACTCTGGTCTCACGATTTGGTTTGGTTATAATTATCATGCCATCATTTCGATATTTCGGTGGATTGACGTAGCTTTCAATATATCCATTTTTTTCTTCTCTCTAATTTATAATTTTTTTTAATATTGGATCTTATTTTAAATGTATGTGCATGTAAAGTATATCATTCGCACAAATCAATTATGGGCTTTTCTCTAAAAAAGTTGTTACTCAACCCAGTTTAGAGCATCATTATGGGCATTTTTCGTTATAACTAACGTTTTAGAACTGCCGACATGTTGATAATGAATATAGTCATTTATCCATTTCCCTTTAGAACAAAGAGCCAAAATTTGTTTTTTTTATGGGCAAATGAAAAACAAAAATGGTCAATTTCTCGGTTGTTTTAAATTTCGTTTAAAAAAAAATAATAAAGACCCAGCCAGTATTCCATTATCCTAATTTGGTCTGAACAAGCAATTGTTAACAAACAGATCCTACAGTAGGTATAGGACCTCATCCCATGTTTGACAAGCTTAAAAATAGGACTACAGCAATTGTAGCCTTCGTAAGCTAAATCTGACGGCATTACCATAAACATTTGCCCTAGTGGAGGGGTGCCAAAACTAATTTCTAGAGATCTACTTTCCTGCCATGTATGGTTACAACCCAATAATGAAACAACTGCCTTATATCAAAAGGAAAAACAGGATTATTTTTTTTGTTAAGGAAATACTAATTTGATATTAGCATATTTCTGAAAACAAGTTAATTGTTCTGCTTGTATAGAAAATTCTGCTATAAATTTACAAAGTTCCAATATTTGGACAGAAAAAATAAAAATCTAAGAAAGAAAAGCTTTTTTTTGCAGTGCATTTGCCCTAGTACAGAGGTGCTCAACCCTATACCTAGAGATCGACCTTTCTGGAGATTTCAGTTGCAACCCACATCAAAAACACTCCTGCCTGTAATCAAATGCTGTTCAGGTCATCATTAATTGGTTCAGATGTGTTTGAGGGTTGTAGCTTTATTAAGCAGGAAGGTAAATCTGCAAGAACAGGGCTTAGCATCCCTGCCTGAGTAAAAGTAATCTGTACTAACAGATTTAAAAATATATATTTAACAATTTATCAAACAACAAACCCACAAATTATTTTCATTAAGCATTTATTAAGTTAAATGTCAATGTAGGGGAGACGCTGGCAGAGAAATCATACAAAAATCAGCAAGATCAGCTCCTACGACCTGCAAGAGAAATTAACCCAAAGCTTGAGGCAAGCGAAACACTAGTAATGGAGCTTCTTTGCCTAGTATAATAACTTACGTGAGCAGCAGTATTTGACTCTCAGGTACTTGTATGTGCCATAACAGGGATCAGAGAATACACTGTTGGTGGCTGGTACATTGCAGCTCTGACGTCCATCACACCTACACAATGACAAATTCATGAAAACCATTGGAGTAAGAACAGGACTCAATTCATTCCAGCTGTAGCTACAATATGCTCAAACTGACCCATTAGAAACCAGAGATAAGTTAATGCACAACACAAAGTCCTGTGAAATCCATACCTTGATGACACTATGGACAGAGAGCTGGATGAACGGCAGCTGGTTTCTCTGATTTGATGTGGTGGACGGTTCTTAATGCAGGTTTTTCTATCTGTACGCCCATAGTTTGCACCAAGGATCCTGATCTTACAACCTTACATGGGGGGGGAAAAAAAAAAAAAAAAAAAAAAAAAAAAAAAGCCCATGTAACATTAAAAAATAAAAAAACAGTATTTGCAAAACACTTATTTAATGGATTGCGACTTCATCTTACCAGGACAGGACAGACGCAGGATAGAGCCCTCACATGCAGTTTCAGTTTCTGAGAAAGAAGGGTCGCACATTAGAGCATTAATGGAGCAAAGAAATAAATGTCAAGCATCACTAGGTTCAAATGAATTTAAGGTTTCTTAGAATATCAAACTCTTACTAGTGGACCTCCTACAGTAGTCATAGTCATGACCGTGATCATGATCATGTCCACCGTGACCATGTCCATGACCATGTCCACCACTCGCTGATATCAGCAGGCTTGAGTTCAGTAAAATGACTGAAAAACAAACACAGAAGAACTGATTAAGACACCTTTTTACTGCTAATCATATTCACATTATAATTAACAGAAAACTTAGACTACAGGGAAACTATTCCCTACACAACAGTGCAGCCAAAAATAAAATCACAGAACATCTACTTGTCAAACCCAAAAAGAAACTCACAGGTGATCACTAAACTGAGAGAGAACATGATTCTTCTGTTGTCTGCAACTGTGCATGTCGTATTTACTGATTCATATTTATAGGCCGCTGGTGTGAGTGGTAATGAGCGACACCTGTACTTCACACCGGTCTGCATTCCCACAGAGGACAACAGGAGGAGTTTTTTTTTTTTTTTTTTTTTTTTTTTAATTTAAACAGTTGTGAGAAACACCTACCCAATATGGTTATTAGTCCAACAGTACCATGGTCAAATACTCCTGAATGGTTACTACCAAAACCCATTGTTGATACATCACTGGTAAAAAGAAGAGATAAGAGTGCAGAGGGCAATTTTAATATTCAAATGGTGCAAACATATATTAAAGACAAATATTTTAAACGTGTAAATATATACAGATGCATCTAAAGATAGTGGAAATAGAGTGGGGGTAGCATACACAGTAATAGATTTTAGAATTAAAGTTATTAAAAGAATATCAGATAATCTTTCAGTGTACAACTGGAGAAATGCTGGCAATACTAATGGCACTTCAATGGGTTGAGGAAAACAGACCGTTAGGAGCACTGGTATGTTCAAATTCCTCACTGATGACATTACAGAGTGGACATTCTGAAAGCAGAAAGGATATTTTGATCGAGATATTGCAAACACTATATCGCATTCAGATGATGGGATTAGAAGTTAAGTTCTGTTGGGTTCCAGCTCATAGTGGAATAACAGGGAATGAGTTGGCAGACGAGAGCGCTAAAGAAGCTACAAGAAAATCAATTATAGACATGGAAATAAAATATAATAAAAATGAGATGAAGGTTTTGATCAAGCGATTTTTAAAAAATAGGTGGCAAAAACAATGGGAGGAAGTAAAATATGTGAGGTGGTTGTTTAATATACAAAGAAATGTGGATAAAGGAAGAATAACAAGTAGAAGTAAGAGGCGAGAGAGTATAATATCAAGAATTAGATTTGGACATACAGGACTCAACAGTACACTGTACAAAATGAATCAGCATCAGACTGGAAATTGTGATTATTGTGGGCAAGAAGAAACCGTGGAGCATGTTATTATGAAGTGTCCAAAGTACAATAGGAAAGGAAAGTGTTTATTTTAAATTTAAAAATAATCAATAAGAATTTTGAATTGGTTAAAATGCTAAAAAAAAAACAAGTCAGATAAGGACTGTATAGAATTTTTTATACTTTAAAAAAAATGTCTAGATAAAAGAATATAGATATAAGTGATGTAGTTTTTTTGTTATTTCTTTTTTTTTTACTTTTCTTAAGAAGGATAGAAAGTGTGATCATGGCCCACACTCCTAACCAGCAGGTGGCGGTAATGCACTCAAAGTTGTATGCCAACTGCCAATAAAACTCATAAGAAGTAGAAGAAGCTTCATCTCTACAACTTCTGTGCATGCCTGCTGGGACGGATTAGCCAATGGGCCTTGTGGGCACAGTCCCAGGGGCCCGTGTGCACTTGGGGCCCCTGCGTGGGTTGGGGGATGTGATATAAAGTCAAAAGTGCCTCGTGAGTAGGCCACTTAATAATGTTCAGTCTATTTCATATGTGTTACAGCATCTAAATAGTGATTATATTCTATAAAAAGTTATTTTCCCCCTGGTGTTAAATGTTAGCAACATCTTAATAGAATTGATTTATATCTACAATGTTATCTGCAATCTTCCGAAGTCATTTGCCGCAACTAGCCCTACTTCACCCGTATTCTCCGACTTCATGGCTCTGCGTGAAGAACATTTAATAGATGGAGAGAAATGCGAGAGAAAGAGGAGAGGAGGCATCTTTTTGAGGCATGTTCCATGCATACCTTCTTTAAACAGACCCATGATCAGAATGAGGGTATAGAACAGGGGTCACCAATCTCGGTCCTGGAGGGCCGGTGTCCTGCAGATTTTAGCTCCAACCCTAATCAAACACACCTGAACAAGCTAATCAAGCTCTCACTGTGTATACTTGAAACATCCAGGCAGGTGTGTTAAGGCAAGTTAGAGCTAAACCCTGCAGGGACACCGGCCCTCCAGGACCAGGATTGGTGACCCCGGGTATAGAAGAAGACGTTATGGTAACATTAGATGAGTAAGCTAGCATTAACCAGGCGGAGGAGAGTAACGGCAGCGCAGCGCGCACAGGAGTCATCATGTCAGAGAGAATCAGACAGACAAAGGAGAGAGGGAGACAGAGAGAGAGAAAAACAGAGAGACCGGAGAGGAGAAGTGGTATAGTGTGTGTGATTTCTGATACTTTTAGGTTTATAATTAAGTATAATCAAGAGGAGAGTAAAAAAAAAAAAAATACAGGGAAAATACAGGGAATACAGGAGGAGAGAGGCACTAAATCATTAATAGGTGTGCGTATTATGAAAGACTCAGATTCATTGAACTGGATTGAAGAGGCATTGTGTGTTATATGCCATGCCAATAATATACTTTATACGTTTGTAAAAGTTATACATTAAAAATACCCTTAAAAAATAAAATAAAATATTGTAACAAATATGGCCGACCAGACACATAATTATTTTGCTTTTTATTCAACAAATGAGCCAACTTTTATCCAAGGAAGACTCAATGGTTAGTTGTGATCTGATTCTAAGGAATTTATGACCCAAAGGAATGTACCCACAGCACAGCACAACTGAATTGAACAGGACTTGTTTAAGCTCCTTGTTTAAGACTGATGTTTTAATGTAAACTTAACTCTCTCTCTTTATGTGTAATCATGTGTTTTGCAACGTTTTCCTTGCTCTTGTATCAATATTTTGTTTTTAATATCTCTGCATAAAATGTTTAACTCTAGCGAAGCTAAACGACCTCTTAAACTGTTCATATTTATTTTTAAGCTTACTTGCTGTGCTAATTGATCGTTGACATTTTATGTTAATACGAGTGCAACATGTTAACATTTTAAGAGACTTGAACATTTCTGCCTCAATTTGCATAAAATTTGCCTATGCAAATTCCTCTGCCTCGGACAAAGAGCCATAAAGCCATGATTCAAGGAAGTTAGTTTCTAATTGGTCAACTTTCCATAGAGGGTGGATCTGAACCTGCCCTATAAAGCTTGGGACCAAAGCCACACCTCGCTCTCTGCTCTGAAACTCTCTTTGAACTGCAACTTTCTTTTAACCGCAACTCTCTTGAACCTGGCTCTCTGCTCTGAAACCCTCTTCTAAACTGCAACTCTCTGCTCTGAAACCTCTTCAAACTCTCTGCAACTTCTTCAGAAAGAACTCTTCTCTCAACTCTCTTCTCTGAAACCTCTTCATCTGCAACGACCTAAGAATGAGACCTAAGCAGAGAAACCTCCAGGAAAGCAGACGGAGACCCAGACGGAAAGGGTTAATCATACAGCTCGGACATTTCACATCTCGGATACCTTATTTCCGTTATTTTCCATCGAGAGTCTAGTAAAGTTAGTGCGTCACAAACCAGTGGTCAGCACAACTGGCCCCTTTTGCCGCTTCAACTTCAAACACCGACTCACCCTATAGCCCATTTACACCTAGGACAGAGTTTAGAGGAAAGAAGATCGAATGTCACATAAGAATCACACAGATAAAGCGCACCATTGCACCATAATGAAACTATTAAAATGGTGACATCCGAAGCATACACATTACTGCACCGAATTAGCTACATTAAACTTCTATATGCATAAGCCATTCGTGGACTGATGCGCTTTTTTAAACATGCAGATTTAAAAAATTGATTTAAAATATCTACGCTTAGCCTATTTGTTTCCCCTTCAATCATTTTCAATCATTGGTGTAAATGGGCCTTAATACAGTTTAAAGCGAAGTTGCCTGAAAGGATGACAGGATCCTTCATGTCTATTGTTTGGCTTGCGTTGTGCATATTTGAAAATAACTGTCAGGTGAAGGGCGGCAACGCAGTGGCGCAGTAGGTAGTGCTTTCACCTCACAGCAAAAAGGTCTGTGTGGAATTTGTATGTTATCCCTGCGTTCGCGTGGGTTTCCTCTAGGTGCTCTGGTTTCTCCTGTGTTAATGGTACACTGCATTGTGCTTTAACTGGGAAAAAATAACAACCCGAAAACACTGAATTGGATTACAAGGGTTGCTGCAGAAAATATCTTAATAAAACTAACAAAAATAATAATAATAATAATTCCCAGTGATGGGTTGCAGCTGGAAGGGCATCCGCTGCGTAAAACATATGCTGGATGAGTTGTTGGTTCATTGCGCTGTGGCAACCCCATATTAAAAGGGGCCTAAGCCGAAAAGAAAAACGAATCAATGAATAATAATAGTAATTTATATATAAAATAATCTTTACATACAGATGCCACGCAAGTGGCCTACTATTTTAGAGGAGTTACATTTGAATTGCTGCTGCCCCCTTTCCCCATCTCAAACTTGAAAGTTGCAGAGAGAACACCTTGATGCCTTAGCCTCAATAGCAAAAGATCATAGCCCATTTACAAGTGACAGTGAAAGTTTAGTGGAAGAATGTCAAATCAGAATCACGCAGATGAAGCACACCAGCTGCTATCATCATGAAAATATTAAAATGGTAATGGATTAACTTTGCTTATTTGCAGCAGCTTTTTTTTTGCGCAACAGAAATTTGGCGTTGGGAAGCATTTAATGGATAAAAAGGATTAATAGTGAAATCGGCTTTTCGTCGCATCCCTATTAACTATATCAGTGAATTGAAGGCCTTAAAGTGTCATATCTCGATAGAATAGCCTAAGTTATATTAACTTAGAAATAGAAATAATTTAAAGAATAAAGATATTAAAAAATCACATTAAATAGAAATAAACCAATTATAAATTTGTTTTGGTTGTCTTCATTTTGATGCCCTCATGATGATGCGATGTGCTTTATCATTATGAGCGTTTTACGTTATAACTAACGTGATTCAAATGATAGATCTGCGACAGAGAAAGGGGTTTTGGGAAACACAACAAATAAAGAGTTCCAGTATTTGTGTGTTGGAGGCAGTGGAGCTGTCACCGACTCGGTCCCAGTCATTCCCCTCGCTGGCCAGCAGAGGTGATAATCACCGGACTATAGACATTGCGTCACCCATCTACACTGATTGCAGACACACCTGACACGCATCCAGCAAT